TCCTTCTAAATCTATTACAATATCTTCTCAGGATAATACAAACATCCTTGATTGGGATGCGAATCAAACATGTGACCTCTTCTTTGGGACATCCACAGTGATGACATTAGACTACGAGGTATTTGATAAAAAAATCAATTTAATATTTGAAATTAAAGTTGAATTATGTGTTTTTATAGCAAGTTATTTGAATAGTTGAGGTTCTGATTAATTATTTTGATAGGATGTTATTATTGGTTGATTAGTAATGATTCATCTTTTTTTAAGTTTGTCTTTTACTTTATAAATAATTATAAAATTATGACTAGAATAAAAGTTATTTAAAAGATCGTGACCTTGTAAGTGTCGTGACTATAGTAGTAACTTTTGACATAATAATTTATGTTCAACCTTTACACTCAAGTACCTATGACACAATACCAAAATAAAAGTTAGTCATTTGTTTATATATAAATTTTATTGAAAGAATGACCAAACTAAGACTCCCAGGAACCAATTAGACAAAAATATACCATTTTTCGTCCGGGACAGAAAACTGACTGGAATAACGTGCAATTGCCTAAAATACCCTATTCAAGTGCTGCTTTCTTCCCGTAGATCTGTCTGTAGCGCCTTTCTTCTTCCATCGATGGAGCAAAGCTTGACGCACTGATTGAACTCTTCAGCAACTCAGCGAGTACCTCCAGAGGAGATCGATCTCCAACGTCGCAACCATCTCAAGCAGCGGACCTGCGACGGCCAGCGGCGGATCTGCAATGTGCGACGGCCAACGGCAGGCGAGCTATGGCGAGTGAGGGTCCCGTGCGACAGCCAGCGACGAGCAACCTCAAATCAGATTTCTAATCGTCTTCTTCACCTACACCTTCATCCTCTTATCCGATTTTGAACCGTCTTCTTCGGCTACACCTTCTTCATCTTCTCCGATTTTCATTTTTCAGATTTGGCGTGGCGGGTAGGGCTCCATGTGGTTGTTAGTGGTGCATTGTGCGGGACATTGATGGGCTGGCTGGGTAGAGACGGATCTGGGGCAGGGGTGGAGCAGGGGTCTGGGCTTGGGACTTGTGCTGGTGCTGGGACTGGCGAGGCAGGCTGGGGTTGGGTAGGGGAGGCGTGCTAGAAAGGAGGGATGATACTGGGGGTGGGGGTAAGTAATTTGAAGCTTTGTTTGAGTGCATTGGTGGTGGCCGGAGGTGATGGTCAGAGGTAGTACATGGTGGTGGTTGTCGCCGGAGTAGGCCAGATGTGGTGGTCGCCAGCGATAGATGGTTGTGGTCGCCGGAGGTGGTGGCCGCCACTGCCCACTGGTCATTATTGGACCGAGTTACGGTAAATGGTTGGAATGGGCAATTGTAATTGGTCAATGTCAGATAACTGTAACTGATAAAATTGAGGAATTATAACTGGCGGGTTGGGTCATTGTAATTGATGGGTCGGGTAAAATTTTGGTAACTAATGATTTTTGGTCACTGGTGAATTTTGGATGTTTGGTCACTAAAAATTTTTTGTCACTGGTGAATTTTGGATGTTTAGTTACTAATAATTTTTGGTCACTGGTGAATTTCGGGTGTTTGGTCACTAATGATTTTTGGTCACTGAGGAATTTTCGATGTTTGGTCACTAATTATTTTTGGTCACTGGATGAATTTTGTAACTATGTCATTGGTCACTGCACATTTGGTCACTGTGACGGGTTACTGTAGCAGGCCAGTGGGTTTGGGCTTAGTAAGGGTGTAATAGTCCCTTAAGTATTATTTAGTCTTATTTTTGGAACTTAAAAGAAAAGTCTCTTTTTTTGTCCAAATGCTTTTAATTAGTATTATTTGAGGACAAACCCCAATTTTATTTCAATAATATTTTTGAAACGTTCTATTGTTATATAATAAAAAGTTACAAAACTACCAGTTAAACAGTAATTGGAGTTTTTAAAAGATATTACTATTTTTAAAAGATATTTCCTCCTATCAAAAACAAGATAGTTCTGCCATGTATAGTATGCCCAATGTCATGCTAATCATAGTCTCTCATAAGATTATTCCTTTTTTTAATCCATTTCATTAGGATGTTTTTACTTGGGGTGCTTTCGGTCACAGACCAAATCCGATCTGACTTAAATAATGCTGGACTAGACCCGACTTAGACAAAGTACATTCTAAACCAAACCAAAATTCGATAATTGTAAAATACAAATAGACCAGTCATCTACCCGATCAGGTCAAACCACTTCAGCCAGACAAGACAAGAAAGTTTTGGTTCAAGTAAACATCATAAGAGCTCGTTTGGTAACGCCGAGATTGGCTAAATCAACTGAAATTGATAAAATTTCGGTTGGATTTGATAAATTATATAAAAGTTATATTTAAAATATATTTTATTAATAAAACAAAGAAAATAATATATGAAAATAGCTAAAGGGTCCTTTATAGTAATTGCAACTAATTTAGTCGAAAATGTAACTTTAACTTTATTTAATTTGATTTTCGCGCACAATTTTGCGCAAGTAGTCAAAAAGTTAATACTACATATTATATAGCACATATTTGATAAAAAGTTGGCAGCTAATGAGCTGAAAGGATTACGGAAGGGACACTAAGATCATCTACGATGACTAGCTACACACATTGTACTTTTGCTTACCACATCACATTGTAGTTGATAGCTAAACACATTCTACAATGTGATAGTTCAATGGTTAGCCACAATGCTTGTATCTTGAATAGGCCCACAAATCAATCAATTTTGAACATATACATTTTAAATGAATTGATTTATTAATATAATAAATTATCAGTGTTATTATTATTATTTTTTTGATCGTCAACTAGCCTTCTTTCATATCATAAATTTCAGGATCATAACATCAGTCAAAGGAAAAACATAACCGACATCAACTAAATTCCAACAACTACGACTGTAAACTCTATGATCAGACTCAGAGACGGTCACCCCTGAAAGAGCAACGTGAATCGCTAACCATGTAGCGGGCTTGACACAACCATCCCTGTTCCCATAGATCCAAACATACTTAATGACATAAAAAAAGACTGAAATTCCAAACAAATTGACAAACCTAACAACATAGACGATAACAAGAATCCAGATGACAAAAAAATAATAAGTAATATGAAAACTTTCACGGACTCTATCACCTCGTACAACCCACGTCGGTGGTTCCAGAGGAGGCTGTATACTTGGTACCATTCTAATTGACCCTCCATTGTCGATCATCATCTGATTTGCTCGAAAGTCGCAAAATTCTCCTCGTCCCGCTCTCTTAGCAAATCCATCGCCAACGGTCATCTTCATCATTGCCATGCCCTTGCTACCCAAACTCATTCTTCGCCCCCCAAAAGAGAACCAATTGGATCTGCCCACTGCACACCAACAATCCTGTCCGGGGTCCGAGCGTTTGGAAGACAAAATCCGGCTAAAGTGCAAAGCAGCGCAAAACTGTTCGAAAAATAGCCCCGAGTCGGCCAAAACTTCCAAGACCTGGGAAGGTTTTTGAGGAGATTGTACACCAACCCAAGAAAAGCAGTCGGCCAAAGCCACCGGAACCCACGGCCTGAGGAGGTCGCCGCCGGAGAAAGAGGTAGGCGTTGCATGAGGCAACCCTAGAGAGAGACGAGAGCTCTATACTCATCAGTGTTGTTATTATTAAAACGAGCATATTTGAAAATGCACATTTTTAAAATTAGAACAAAAATATGTATTTTGTCAAGTAAAAAAGAAGGAACAAGAAGTTTTAACGGCACATACAGAAAATATCAATTTTAAATATTTCATGAGAAAATTAAACATTTTTTAAAATCAACAAAGAAAAAATATGGGATAAGGGTCAGATAGGGCCTCGAACTTGAAAAAAAATATCAAATAAGGCCATATTTAGGATGCTCTGTCCGGCCGACGCCATTTGGGGTGGTTCCCGGTGGAATTTTTTGATGAATTTTTTTGAGAATCTTGTTCATTAAGTCTAGTTTACTCATATCAAATTTGAACTAAAACTTTAATCGGGAAGACATTCAAATGAATTCTTGAAGATAACTGTGCCGTTAAAAGCGCAGTTATCTTCATGAATTCATTTGAATGCCTTCCCGATTGAATTGTTAGTTCAAATTTGATATGAGTAAACTAGACTTAATGAATAAGATTTTCAAAAAAATTCATCAAAAAATTCCACCGGGAACCAGCCCAAATGGCGTCGGCCGGAAAGAGCATCCTAAATATGGCCTTATTTGACATTTTTTTTTCAAATTCGAGACCCTATCTGACCCTTATCCCAAAAAATATTATATAAAATAGATATACTAAATTAAACAATATGAATTCAAATTTGGTAATTACCATTTTAATACAAAATCTCTCTCATTTTTAGCAAGTAGCTTGTTTTAACTAATTTTACTGCCTAAGCTAGAAGGAAAGATGCACTCCAATGATAGACTAGTAGTAGCTTTAAAACTGCAAGCAAGTCCCTAGAAGTGACCAGATCATACCGGACTTTGATAGTTGTAAAATACACCGACATCAGACATCTGCTAGACTAAACTACTTCAGACAAGACTAGATCAAATCCGATCACACAATGCCAAAGTACAAAATTTCAGTCCCAAGTAAAATAATTCTAGAACTCGTTTGGTAATATCAAAATCGGCTGATTGTGTTAAAATTTATGAAATTCTGGTTGAAGTGGCTGTATTGGCTGATTTTGCTAATTCATGAAAAAATATTTAAAATATATATTATTAATAAAATAAAAAAATATGTAAAATTAGTTAAAATGGTCATCTACATTCTACAATAACTTGAACCAATACAGTCTAAAAAGTAATTACATCCTTATTTTTTTATTATACAATTCAACGTGAAATATCTAAAATTAAAGTTACGTGTCTGATAAAAAAATCGGCTTATATGCGTATGTGCCAACAAGCTGGGCCCTCAAGAGGGTACAATTTTTTTTGGATGAAATTCAATTTTACTTTACTTAAAAAAGGGATGACACCTCATCCCTGAGGGCCCCCAACACCGACCGGACGGCACGATGGGAGGATGTAAATTAGACTATAATCACGACGATATGACAGATGGAGAATGAGACTCTGTCTGAGATACTTGCCCTATGCATTTAAGAGTTTACGAGTGTACTACACTGTCCACTAATACTAAGCACCAAGTACCTGCTCCTGCTCTCGTAAGAAGTAGAGTAGAGGTAACATTTTCAAGCTCGATGATTACTTGCATAAGGTTTCTTTTAAAACCCTGCGAAAGTTGTCTAAGTGTTAATTTATTTATTTTAACATGTGTAGGACGCAGTTCAGTTTTGATTCAAATGGGTGTTTCATCCAGGTACATATATGAATGGCAAAAGCTAAAACAAACAAATTACCTGCATGCATTGATTCTGTTCGATACTTTGCCTATGAAGGAACTTTAGTTTCTGTGAAATAGTAATGTATATCAGAAAGGTAAAGGACGGTCCTTTTTCAACATGCAGGGAAGAGGAGAAAGATACTCTTAAGATACTTGTAGCTACGGATTGTCACTTGGGTTATTTGGAGAAGGATGAAATACGCAGGCACGATTCATTTAAGTCATTCGATGAGATATGTTCAATTGCAGAGAAAAACCAGGCAAGATGTTTCAATTCTTCACTATGTTGCTACGTATTAAAAATAGATAGTTGGTGGGTGAGTTTAATTTCCCTGGCATGCACCTTGCCACCCCGGTTTCTAATAGGTCAATGCTCAAGCACCGTAGATTTTTTCACTTTGAATAACTTTGTTTTATGTTATAAGTTGTGTCATACACTGACATCAATAGTTACTGGATATCAGGTGGACTTTTTGCTTCTTGGCGGCGATCTTTTTCACGAGAACAAACCATCTAGGACCACATTAGTTAAGGCCATTGAGATTCTGCGTCGGTATTGTCTCAATGATCGACCGGTGCAGTTTGAAGTTGTCAGCGATCAAACAATGAACTTTGCGAACAAGTACTGGGAGATCTTACTATTAATATTTAACTGCATTGAATTCATAGACCAATATAATTGATCCTTGTTCAAAGTGATTGACCATTTTTCTGAACAACTGTCATTGTACTCAAATCAGTCTTGCTCAGGACTTATGCCTTTCAAATGGGACTATCCAATTTTCTTCTCATGGCATGTAGCTGCTTTTTTTTTATATTTAATATACATTGTAAAACAATTGCTTAGTCCCTCAATCTTAAGCAGTTAAAAATTTATGTATTGCACTTGATTTTTCTTTTGTAACTTTGGCGTGTGATGGAATTTCAGATTTGGTCATGTAAACTATGAAGATCCTCACTTCAATGTTGGATTGCCTGTTTTCAGTATTCATGGGAATCATGATGATCCTGCTGGTGTGGTATGGGTCTTATGGTAAAACGTTCATGTGTTTTGTTGTGTACATTTTGAGCTTAAAGTTATATCCTGCTGGTTTGCTATGGGCTTATGGTATAAAGTTTATGCATTTTATTGGATACATTTTGAGCCTAAAGTTATTCTCTATAAGGAATTCTCAGTCCAATGTCCATACATTTTGAGCATTTTATGGTTTCCTTCAAAATAAGCTTTATATGGAAGTGTGTTTGGCTCCTTAATTCTACGATTCACCCTGTTTGTTATGCGTGGTCTGAAGAGAGTGGTTTGTAACCGATTACTTCAAACAACCTACCCGTATGGAAAATAGCTTTTTCGCTCTCTTTAGTTTAACTGTAAGTGGTTATTATACTAAAAGTTAATCATTTTGAAAATGGAAGGGACTTCTTCTCTTTATGTTATTGAGTTGGAGAGTGTCTGACTTTCCAGAAAAAAAGAATAGTTTACACTCTTAATCTACAAGAAGTTTTTTCCCTATAAACATCAAGTAGACATGCAAAGCGACCATTGAGTAACTTATCTTGTCAGTTGACTTTGATAGCATCTACAACCCTATTTCCTGATTTTTGTCAGTGGATGATTGATTGATTGATCTCCTCTCTCTCTTTCTCTCTCTTTGTTTTATCTTTTTATCTTCTTTATCTTTCTTATGTTCTAATGTTATTTTTATCTTTTACCTTTCTTATGTTCTTTTATCTTATCTTTGTCTATATCTTATCCTTTTTATCTTACTTTATCCTTTTATTTTTCTCACCTTTCTTTTCTTTTTGGCTCTGATATGATGGATCGATTCATGTTAGCCAAAACGATCTTTTGGGAATAAGGTTGGGATGTTGTTGATGTTTGTTGTTGTAATCGACAAGATAAAAATTCCTGTGCTGATGCTTAACATGCCTGAAGTGTATTATTTCAATGTCGATGAAGTTTTAATTTATTAATTTAAGCTTGAACCTAACATGAGAGACTTTCTCATCACGCATCATCTGAAAAAGAAGCCTTTATGAAACTTTACCAATGCGTAAAGAGTTTGCAGTTTCCAGAATTGAATCATACCTTAACAGGACCTTCCTGTCTCCCTGCTAGCTGATCCACATGTTTTTCTTATAATATTTCTCTTGTTTTTTTTATTATTATCAATGTTTAGCTTGTTTGAGGCATTTAGTGCTTAGAACCCTTCTTTATGCCGTTTCTTTTAAAGTTTGGTTCCATGATGTATATATAGAAGGTATGGTGCTCATTGTTTGGTTGTTCATTTAGCCCATGTCCAATTTCAGTAGTTTGAAGACCATGCTTGTTAAGTTTAAAACCTGGTGGGTTAAATTGGAACCGCCAATATATTTGAGGAGTAGAAATTTTAACTTTGATTCTGATTCTAATGTTTTAGAATCAGAGCTAAAGGTTTGTTTTAGAATCAGAGTTAGAAGTCATGCTGTGTGAGAAAGTGGTTCTTTTCGAAGTTTTTGGCATTAGTTTTCTTGTATTGAATATACTATTGTTTTAATGAAATCTTGTATAAAATGAGCAAAAAGAGCCCAATAGGCTCATAGCCTCATACCATGTTTCTTTGTTTGGGTTGCTCCTCAATTTAAACAGATTTGTGTATAAAATGGAAATAAAATGCCCATTAATCTAATAATGTTAAAAATAATATATGTGCGTGTGTGTTTGAATTCAGTGTGTTTTGAAGGATGTGTTTCAACATTTTATTTGGTAAGTAACATTTTGGAAACAAAAGTACTAGAATCAGAACAAAGTTTTGAGAAGCATGAGCCCCCATGCATTTCTGAAGTTGTTTCTCACATCCAACGAAGTGATTCTGAGCTATTTTAAGTACTTTTAGGAGGAGCAGAATAAAAATCAAACACAACCTAATGTTATTCAGTAAGTACCGGATGACGAGAGATTACATCATGTATTTGAGTTGTCTTTACACTTGTGTCAGGACAACCTTTCTGCTGTTGATATACTTTCAGCATGTAATCTGGTGAATTATTTTGGAAAAATGGACCTTGGAGGTTCTGGCGTTGGACATATTTCTCTCTACCCCATTCTCATCAGAAAGGTTGGACTCACGTCGTTGATAACGTCTGAATAAATAAATAAATTTATTTTAAAAAGGCTTTACACTGTCAATTGTAGGGTTCGACATCTGTAGCCCTCTATGGCCTTGGTAATATCAGAGATGAACGCTTGAATAGAATGTTTCAGGTATTGTGCTATGTGCAGAGTTCTTTTTTCCTTCTAAAATTCCAACGTGATGATACAGAAGTTAAATGCTATATTCTCCTTTATACTTTAGACACCTCATGCTGTTCAATGGATGCGACCTGATGCCCAAGATGGATGTCAAGTAATAGACTGGTTCAATATTCTGGTTCTTCATCAAAACAGGTTAATTTAGACATTTAAGCCTCAGTTCTGTAGGATAGTATTAGACAAACCTATTAAGTTTAGGTGATTTGGCAGTCATTCATTGTATTGTTAAACCATTCTGGGTGAAACTAGTAAGTGTTTGTCTCTGTTTCTAGGGTAAAGTCAAATCCTAAGAATGCAATTAATGAGCACTTCCTGCCTCGATTTCTGGATTTTATTGTATGGGGCCATGAACATGAATGTCTCATTGATCCTCAGGTGCTTACTTATTTATGCCCGCTCAAGTTCTAATACAATTTCCCTTTTTGAGCGGTGCTGATTAAAACTCATTCTCGTAACAGGAAGTTCCGGGTATGGGTTTCCACATTACTCAGCCGGGCTCTTCTGTTGCAACATCATTGATTGATGGTGAATCAAAAGCAAAACATGTGCTCCTTTTGGAGATTAAGGTTGTACACTATTGATGGGCGTCGTGCATACTGAAGTTAAAGTTTTGTTTTATGTTACCTTTGTCTTGTTCATATACTGCATATTGTGAAATACTAAAACATCATTTGCTACTGATGCTTTCAATTTATTGCAGGGTAATCAGTATCGCCCGACTAAGATACCTCTCAAGTCAGTGCGGCCTTTTGAGTACACTGAGGTTGCTTTATTTCCTTCTACTAAATCAGTAAATAAAGCATTTTTTCGCTAAACTACTTAGTTGATTGCATCAGATCATGTTAAAAGATGAGCCAGACATTGATCCGAATGATCAAACCTCGATTCTTGAACATTTGGACAAAGTGGTATGTGGAGTTATTCAGTTCATTATCTCCCCTGTTTTTTATTATGTTATTGTATGGCTATCTTGTTACTATCATTCTTTTGCCATCATTTTTTTATGACAATGATTTGCGGTTGCATCTTGGCTCCTTCAAAATGTTGCAGGTTAGAAAGTTGATAGAGCGATCTAGCAGTATTGATGTGAATGAATCAGAGAGCATGCTTCCCTTAGTTCGAGTAAAGGTTATATTTTAAAATATATCGTCATGGGTTTACTGTTTGCATCCTGCCGATTTTCTTTTCCTATATATCTTTCATTTTTCATGCCTTTGTTCTCTATTTTTCTCTATATATCCGTCAAGTTTCATGTTCTGTTTTTGGATGGGGTTTCAGGTAGATTACTCCGGATTTATGACAATAAATCCTCAACGGTTTGGACAAAAATATGTGGGGAAGGTAATATCTACTTATTTATGTCAATATTGAAAATATTTCTTACTTCTTTCCCCTCTTTTTTGTGCTAAGGGTTTGTACAGAAAATAACATTTGCAAAGTTCTAGGTAGCAAATCCTCAGGATATTCTTATATTCTCTAAATCTACAAAAAGAGGTCATAACGAAGGTAATATTATTTCTTCTCAGTCGTTGACAATATAATGATTTTTTTTTTGTTTCGGAGGCAATGGCTTATTATGGTATTATCACAAATAAGCATGCACTTTTTCTCTAGATCTTTCTCCACATGCTTTGAAATCCACACTTTGTTTTTTTGCCTAATTTAAATTCTTTCTGTATTAGAAATCACGTGTTGGCGGCTAATAATAGCTTGGGCTGACTTTTCATTTTGAACGTAATTAACCTTTAATCTTTCTGGATTAGGTTCTTGATGGCTTGTCATTGAGCTAAGATTATTCCCTGTCCTCATTTTTGGCTCTTCGTGGATTTCCCATTCTTGTGAAAGTTGATTGTTTGAGAAGCCTATTCTTTCACTGCTTCAACTGCCTTAATATCAAAATCTTGGATTTTAGGAAAGCTACTACCAACCCCAATGTTATTTAAATTAGCTAGTCCAACCTTGCATTTCAAATAGTCTTTAATTAGTCACCCTTTACCTTTTACTTCGCAATTATTAACCCTCTGTCACATTTCAAGCTCGTTTGCCTCATTGTATTGTTCTTTTTTAGATTAATATTTAGTTAAAAATAACAAAATAACCTTCATTGTCCAATATTCTAGGTCTGACTCTCCCTAAATGCAAGCGATAATTTTTTTGTTGGTATGGTTTTGCACTTTTGCCAAAAAATGTTGTGAGCTTTGATGTGTTGAATCTTTCTCATCATCTATCCAATCTAGTTCGTTCTTGTAGAGGTTTGTTAGTACAGATAAACCTAATCTACTTGAAACATTGTCACTAAGAGAGAAAGAGTGCAATCCTGTTCATGCTCTTGCTGCTCTTCTATTTAACTCAACATTAGGTTGCCATGAGTTTCAGTCTTGGGAGATGCTACTCTTATACTGATTTTCAAGGACAAGGTTTCATTGGGCCTGACCTGAGAGATCATTGCGTAGAATAGCCAGAATATGTGGTTTATAAAAACTGATTGGCACAAACCACAAAGGACATGAGGGCCATGTCTGTCATAGACCACTGATCATCACACCAGTTTCATAATGGACAAAATAATACTCCCTCTGTCCCAATATAAAAGGCACACTTTCCTTTTCGGTCCGTCCCAATATAAAAGGCACATTTCCCTTTTTGGCAAACAAAACAGTGTCAAATAGTGCCAAACAGTGCCAAACAGTGTCTAAACAGTGCCAAACAGTGTTCAAACAGTGTTCACCCTTAAAAAGTCCCCAAACGCAAATGTGCCTTTTATATTGGGACGGAGGGAGTAACATTGATTATTCGGTGTATCGTAATTAATTCATAGGAAAAAATTCAGTAACTTACGAGATGAGTTATTATGTAATGTTGCCGGTCTAAATGATTTCACCATTTAAAGTCACGGATACAACAGTTACAAATCTTACATATGGGACAACAAGGGGTATCTTTGAGTTTCTAATAAAAAAGGAAATCAAATGATAAAATTAGGTCGAAATGTACCATAAGAGTAGTTTTTAATGGAGACAAATCTAATGTGGTATGATGGTATTTTTTACGGGAAAATGGAAACTAATAATCCAACCTTTTAACAGTCTTCTTGCAATAGTCCCACCTTTTCGTTATTCAAGAATAATCCAACCTTTGCACCCCATCTTCATTCGCTGGTCTCTGACCGGTTAATGACCTGCTATTCCAAGTTATTTTCTTATCTTTGCAAAATATTATATTTGTGAAAGGTGAGATTTATGGTATAATGGTTTGCAAAGATAAGATAATAACTTGAAATAGCCGGTCATCAACCGGTCAGGGACCAGTGAATGAAGATGAGTTGCAAAGGTTGGATTATTCATGAATAACGAAAAGGTGGGACTATTGTAAGAAGACCGCTAAAAGGTTGAATTATTAGTTTCCATTTTGCCTTTTTTTACTAGGTTTTGAATCTTTTGATACAATCTTGACATCTTGTCTTTCATTTATTACTGTAGGCTAGGAATCTGGGATCTGTGTTAAACTGTTGATCTTTCCTCTTTAACATGTCTACTTATCCTTTTCGCTGTTTGATGCTGATTATTTGGTCCTAACCATATGTAGTCAAATTCGAAGATGCGGAAAGGCTTCGTCCAGAAGAGTTGAATCAGCAGAATATAGAAGCTTTAGTAGCTGAGAGTAATCTGGTATAAGATAAATTTTGAAGCCTTAGTAGATTATTTCTTTCTAAACTTTGAAGGCCGGTATAGAGTTTCCCATTTTGAATTCATATTCTTCCATGTATTTAATACAAGGTAAATGTAATTATATCCAAGAAGGGGTAAGTGTGTATATAATCTTAACTTGTTAACAGAAAATGGAGATACTTCCTGTCAATGATTTGGATGTTGCACTGCACAGTTTTGTGAACAAGGATGATAGAATGGCTTTCCACTCATGTGTGGAATACAATCTCAAGGAAACTCGTGTAAGTAATATAATAATGTACCATAATGGACTCACGATAGTCTATTTATTTTTCCATCACCCATTGTCCCGTATCCTTGACGTAGCAATATATGCGCATCTTGCGCTAACAAACTAAAGACTATGACACTCGACAGAATAAAATTGCCAGGGATACAGACCCATTGAAATGTGAAGAGGAGGATTTAATTCTCAAAGTTGGAGAGTCCTTAGAGGTAAAACTATGCTCTTTGTTATTCCCTCATGTCCCCATCTTTTTTAACTTAAAACTTGAGAACTGATAAATGAAGTACAAATGAGCTGTTCCAACCTATTTAAAGGGGGGTTTGATGTGTTTACATGGTCTCCTTTTCTACTTGCACAGTACAATAGTCCTTGCAACAGTACGTAGTGGTTGTGTGATCTTCCCTACGTTACCTCCCATCAGCCCTCTGACCCTCGTCGATGTTTTTTTTTGTTTCGTTTATCTATTTGAATTCCCATGGGCAGGGTAGTAGGGTGTGTCATTAAGTTTCAGTTTTCTTTTTCTATCATCTGGTACTTGATAACTATACTTATATCGGTCAAGGTGGATGAGCAGTAATCATAGAAAGCCTAGAACAGTTGCAGACAGAATCCCAGAACAAAGTCCATGAAAACTGAATTGTATACGATGTCTTCCATGAATATCACCTTAAAGTTCATAATTGCTGAGTTCAAACAGGCGTCTCTTAATCAGTTTAAGACTTTCAAAAGATCTCATAATGCCACCCCTTCTCTCTGAGGGTATCAACTTTGTGAATTGTAACCAAGCATAGTCTGTTGTAATGTTTTATGTACATAAACTTATCCTAGTATAGAATACCACATACTAAAGATGTGACAACAAATCATGCTATGTACAGGCTTGTGAGGAACAAGTGTCTTTATTCATTGTATAGAGTTTCGAGTTGATGAAGTAACAGGATGTTGATTGCAGGAACGTGTTAAAGAAAGAGCTGCACTGAATAAAGATGACCAACCATTCACATGTAGTGGGCAATCCTCAGAGGTATTGCTCTTATCTTTGTCCTTGGTGTTTTCAAATGTAACTTAGGATTGGTTTTCCAAGGATAGACTTTATATGAGGTTATACATGTGAGGACTTTATCATCATTTTCAGACCAGAAACAGGAGTGGTGGAGGTTTTGGAAGCGAAGTTCCTTTTAGCGATGATGAGGAGACAAATCGTTTTTCTACTTCAAGATCTACTGCTGCTAATAAGGGAAGGAAGGAGTCTTCACAAAATTTTAGGTCCTCTCGTGATGCTTCTGAAGTGGCCAACAAGACTTCATCGAGAGGAAGAGGCCGGGGCAGCGGCAGGGGCAGAGCTTCTGCCAATTTAAAGCAGACAACACTTGATGCATCGATGGGATTTCGTCAGTCACTGAGGTATGACACAATGGCCAATATTCACTGTTTAATGCACGAATGGTAGTCCCTAAGATGTCAAATTTGTTATTGTAGCTTCTTCATGGTTTCTAATAAATTTTTCAACCAAGCTGCTGCAGACCTGCATCAGTTCGTAGTGTCGCGGATGATGAGGAGAATGTGGAATCTGCTTCAAGCGATGAAGAAGCTAAGAACACAATAAATGATGTGAATGATAGCTCGGTGAGTTTTTCTCCTCTCTGGAATCGCTAACAAGTTTCTTATAAAGCATAAGAGCAGTAATATAAGATATTAAGATAATATCTGCAGGTTGAATTTGGTTTGACTAAAGCTTTGTAATCTTCGAACGTTATTTCTCACCTGCATGGCGATGATATGTTTTGATTTGTCGGGTGTTTTAATTTCCTTTTATCCAATTTGTATGTTAGTCATGTGGAGGATTGATCTCTTTTCATTTTTTTATCCTTTTATCTTCTTTATCTTTCTTATGTTCTTTATCCATTTAAACTTTTTTTTTATATATATTCTATTTAGCCTTTTATCTTATCATTTTTATCTTTATTTTATACTACCTCCGTCCCATAATTAAATTCTCAGTTTGACTTAATGAGTCAAACCTCATAAACTTTGACTATTAATTGTTCAAAATTTACATTACTTTATCACAAAATCAATTTAATGTATTTCATTCCAATGTATTTCATTCCAATGTATATTATTCAAATGTTCATTTGTTATAGATTTTATAAGTATATATTTGAGATATTTAGAGTCAGACTTCTACCTAGAAGACTGTAAAAGTCAAACTAGGAATTTAATTGTGGGAAGGAGGGGGTATTTATCTTTATCTTATCTTTTTTTTTACCATTTTTATCGTAGCTTTTTATCTTTCTTGTCTTTCCTTTCCTTTTGGCTCCGATATCATGTTAGCCGACCCCAAAGTCTTTTAAAATTAAGGCTTGGATGTTGTTGTTGCGTATGCTGTTCATGTGTCAATCAAGGGTTTTGAGCCAATTCCTCTTTTCAATAGTGCCACCTTACCTTATCTCATTTCTACCAGCGAATTTCAATTCACGTGATCCCTTTGCAGGTGCACCTTTGTGTTCAAGAATTACTGTGAAAGGAATGATGCCATTTGGGTGGGTGGGTTGGGGGGAGTATGATGCATCCCTAGATTATCTACTTAAAATTCTAAAGATTGCTTGCAGTGGTTTACTACAGCTTTAAAAATGTGTTAATATAAGGTACTCATTACTTATTGTGTTGTTTGGTCAAGGATGGTCTTGAAACTCTCCGAGGAAAAGGGCGCAAAAGGGCTGCCCCAAAGGGAACAGGCAGAGGTGCTACGTCTGCAGCCAAGAGAGGAAAGAAGCCAGCGAATGCTTCATCGTCACTTCAAAAGCTGCTTATGAGGGTAGATGATGATGATGAAGAGGATGAGGAAGAACGGCAAAATAAGCTAAACAAATCTCAACCTCGAGTAAGTATCACAGACAACTTTTACTGCGATGAATTTTTGTTTTAAGGTATTCACCTAGAGCATGTTCTGTCAAGGTCAAGAACTCAAGATACAAAAAATTGCAATATTGTTTGAAATAGAAAAGAAAATAGTATATGAGAATTGGGGTAAAACTGTAAAAGTGTTGTTTTCTTCAATTTCAGCTAATAAAAGAAACTTGTGGACTACATTTTTTTCTTTCTAATATCCGCCTATTCGTAGTTCCTTATCCTAGATCTTAACTAACAAAGAAGTAAAGACTGTTCTTAGTCACCCACTTTATTGATTTGGTATTTCGCAACTATTTCACATGGAGTATTTAGGGATGATGGTGATGACGGTAATGATAATGTGTTTTTAATTAAACCAGTTTTTGGGTGCCAAATTTTGTGTGAAGATGTTACCAATAAGCCTTATTTTGTAGGTAACACGGAACTACGGTGCTTTGAGGAGGTGACCACAGCTTGGGTGTTTTGCATGCACCCCAAAGTCCCAAACATGCAGGGTTTGCCGCACTTAGAGCTTCTATGGTAATATGCTAAAGTTGTCACAATGCAAAACTTAACTTGTTGAGTCTTTATTGTGGGCGGTGTACAAATTTTGGTTATTTTCACACCCAAAGTTATGTAGGGTGATCGATCTTTTTTTCTTTGCTTATTTGCTTTAATAGCCTTGTCATACTGATATACGAAGTATTTGAGTATGTATGTTGAAATGGAAATTAATACTTAAGATATGAAATTGAAACACAGCTCAATTTACGTGAGTAATGTCTATGACAAGTAATTTGAAACGAAAGGCGTATGACGGTATGAGCTAGATAGTTTATCTAAATGGCTTAAAAACAAAAGCTAAAAAAATCACGGAGTATCGCAATAAACTCTTTAGATAAATTTGATTTTTTTATATAACTAAGCCAGAGTCTATCAAAGTTAATAACTAGTCATAAGCCGAAAATGGTGTTTCTTTTTGTTGTTGATTTGCGGATAAATCTGTGATAGGTTTGACCGTTTGATAAAAAAAATAACTATATTTTGATTTGTGACCGTATCAATGGGAATTATTTAGGAGCCAATTGTATTGGGATATATTTAATGAGCCAGTGGATAACAGTAGTTAATCAAAATCAGGGGATGGTTACCGGTTTGAATTTCTAGAAATTTAAGCAAGCAAGATTTATTAGAATTATTGGCCATTCAAACGAGATTTAAAATCAAGTACTTTTGTAGTTTTGTTAGGCTAATGCCATCTTACAATAAAGGAAAAACTGCACTGATACTGCTTATGTAGCCCTTATGTATGGATTGGACTAGGAAGTTGTAATTTGATAAAAGAAAATGTATAGTAATAGACCCGGATCAATTTTGCTGAGTGTAAAAGATGCACTTAAATTGACTATTTATAAACATTTAACTATAATTACATGTAATAATGCTGAAAAGCGTGTTTTTTTTGTCAATGAAAAAACTGCACCAATACTACTTAATTACTTATGTAGCATTAAATATATCCACCTTGAAGCTTCAAATTCAAAGCCTTGATCCCACGGCCGCTCCAAGGCAACGATTCAGGAGGTGGATGGACAGTCAGCATCTCATCTTCTTCCGCCCTGATCAGTGGCGGAGCCAGAAGTTCGTGTCAGTGGTGTCAATTTAGCAAAACAATTTTATATAATAATGTGTACATATATAAAGCAAAAAAAGAAAATATTGTCATTGGTAAAATTAAAGTACTAATTCACAACTGTCCACGACGCGTTTTCATATTTTGAAAACGTTATACAATTTTTTCTTTGTCAATACTTTTGAATATATCTTTTTCAATTAAAGTAACTAAGACATCATTCATCATAGCATCCCCCATTCGATTGTGCAACCTGTTCTTCTCAAACTTCATGGCTGAGAAAGCTCTTTCCACAAATGCGGTGGCCACCGGTAAAAGCAAAGCTAATTTCACAAGTAAAAAAACTAATGGATACACAATATGTTTCTTTGTCTCCACCAATTTTTGAGCAAGAGAATCAACTTCTGTAATATATATAAATGCAGAGTTGGAGCGCACATCAAGAATAAAAGTTTCAAGTTGACTGTCAAGTGCAAGAACATCTACCAGTGAAAAGTCAAAAGGATATAATTGAGCCATAAGAATCAACTTGTCCTTGTCAAAAGATGAAAAAGTGTCTTTAGGACTAAGACAAACCACATAAAGAAGCAATTCTGTAGAAATATCTTTGAATCGATTGTTCAACTCCTCGCGTTGTCTATCCACCACAACATAGAACAAGTCCACTTTGTAACGATGTAAGTTTGTGATTTGGATAACTTTGCGATGGACTCTCCCATGAGGTACATAAAAATCATTCATACATGGAATTGAAATTTTATTCTTTTCACAAAAAGAAGAAACTTCACCAAAGAGAATATCCCATTGGGCACAGACTGCGACCGAGGGTTTCCGATTTTAGCAATTTGAGAATCGGGACTGTGACTTACGACGTTCAATCGTTTTTCTTTTTTGCAGCGGGAGTTGGAGTTCGATCAGCGATTAACTTTTCAATTCTCCTTTGCTGACTTTTCAATTTGGTGTTCCAACTTTTAAAATTTTTAAATTGATCCCCATTTTTTTAAATGTTGGATGGTGTCAATTTATAATTTATGAAAGATTATCTATACCTATATAGGGATTTTTTATTTTTCAGTGGTGTCAATTTTAAATTTTAAATTTTTTTTATATACCTACATATGGAAAGGTGGCTCCGCCACTGGCCCTGATCCCATCCTCGCCATGTTCATTCTTCTTGCCACTTGTTGCCATTCGAAAGTCGAAACGATGCAGTTTCCCTTCATTATGCATGAATCCTTGTTGGACGAATTACCATCAATTTGACTATGAAAACGCACCTTCTTCGACTCGGACAAACACTGCCTTAGTATCCTTCCAGATTTCCGCCAATCGCCTCTAGCAGAATCCTGATGAAATTTGCCGCTTCCTGAAATTGGCAGATGACTTCGCTGCTCTCTTGCATCCGCTTCCGGATTGGTCTATGCCTTCACTGCCAGGCTGCCATCCCCTGCACCTGCCGCTCGGATTCCAACACGAACCTAGCCGCCGTATGAAATTTACTGCAGTTTTCCGCCAAAGGCCCAAAGAAGCCTTAGACAAGCTAGATTTAACGCCTCAGAAGTATATTACGTTCTATTCTTATCCCATAAAATTTTCTTAACCAACAATTTTGATGAGACAGTTTTCTATTCTTAACCAACAAACTACATAAATTATAGTTTATATTTCTCCATTTTCTAATTACATCATAGTTTGTCATCATATTCAATAGAATGACTAATTATCCATCAATGTTTTATAAATGAAAAAAATCTTTGTTCACATAAATTAAAGTTATAATTTGTCATTCACAATTTATTTAAATAATTATTATTACAGACAAGAAAAGAAAAAAACAAAGAATAAATGCGGGACCGGGACCAGCCCGGTTCTCGGGTCCGGGTCGGGCCTAGGCCCGGGGGCGGGTCCGGGCTCGGGTCTTACATTTGGCGACCCGGCCGGGTCCGGCCCGGATCCGGGCCAAATTGATTCTTTTTTTTTTTTTTTTTTTTTTTTTTTTTTTTTTCATTTTTTGGGGTTCCACCCGGGTTGGGCTTGATGGTTAGGAGGGGTTTGGGGGTGGGTAAGGAAAGCAAAAAAAAAAAATTACCAAACTGGAGGCCCGGGCCGGTCCCGGGTCCACCAATTCTGAACCGCCGGCCCGCCTAGGCCCGACCCGGACCCGGCCCGAGTCCAGGACTACGCAAATTTAAAAATTACATGTTTGATGAAAAGTTGACTGATAAACCTAATAGGTCAAAAAACACGGTTATCAAACGGACTCTAAATAATGGGAAAAGCGGGAATTAGGATGTTTTTACTTGGACTGTAATTTGTCCCAGACCAGACCAGTCCAGACCAGACCAGACCAGTTCAGACCAGTTCAGACCAGACCAGACCAGACTTGGATAGTTATAAAAATACAAAGAAACCAGACCTTACCAGACCAGATCAGACCAGTTCAGACCAGACCAGGCCAGACCAGACCAGCAAATTAGAGTCCATGAGTGATTTCCAAAAACATCGTAGATTGTGCCAAACATGTAAACAACGTTTAAATGTTTAATAGATGATTTCCAAAGATTCCTTAACGCTTTTTTAATGCCCAAATTTATACTAACCGAATGCACAACATTGTTTGAATTAGTCTCCATGAGTGAATTTACAATCCTAAATACAAATGAACGAAATTCGGAGTTTGTGACACAAGGCACACAACACTTCCGATAAAACGTATTTTTTGAGGTCCCAAGTTGAATATTATCAGAAATGGCACGAGGACAATGACTTTTTTTTTATCGTAGGACAATGACTTATTTAATCACCCAGGATTTGAGTATTATATATGGAAGAACTGATGCGTTTAATTATTCATTGGATGGATGCCACTCCTTTTATCAATTACGTCCATTTTGGATTGGGATCCTCCGCCGCAGGACAGAGTGCCTTGCGGCAGGGAGACCGTCGGATGGGAAAAGTTACGCATCGAGATACGGATCTCAAAATCTCCGACCGTTGAAATATTGATCGGATGACTCCCAAAGGCCGGAAGGGTGCCTTGCTCGGTTGTAATTCAGAGAAATCGGATCCGTCCATTTTGTCCTAAAATATGTGTACTGTGTAAAACCAATATGTTGGGACTGGTGATGCGTTATTGCCTTGTTGAATATAGTTATATAGACATCGTCACAATTTCAGACGGTTTATCGCTTTATCATTAGTTTAAATTTATTTTTTTCTTTTTAAATAAATAACTTTACACATTATAAAAGATAAATGAGAAGAGAACACAAGATGAGTACTACTCTCCCTGTTTCAAACAAATATCTCATTTGCTTTTTCACATATATAGTAGGAGGAGGAAGAAGGAGAAGCGGAAGAAGACATCTTGCTCTGCGGTGTCTTCAGTCTTCACTTGTTTTTGATCGGCTAAAGAGAAGAGAGGCGGATGAATAGTTCTTCTATTCTATTTATATTTGGGGTATATGTTGCTTCACATGAATTAGTCCCTTTTGTCGAAGTTAAAAAATAGTCATATTTTTATCCAAATAAACACAGATAGTATTACTTCTATTTTAACGTTGAAAAATAAAATATGACAAAAATTTAGAGACAAGAATCTGAGTAAGAAAGGATTGAATACGTTTTTAATCTCTGCAAATATGATATACGCAATATTCTATTATAAATCCTTCCAATTGTTTGTTTTTCATATTCATAGTATGTCATATTTCCACTTTAACCCCTACAAACTCTGATATATATCACCTCTAATAATTTCAGCTGTATATGTGTAAAAAATCAACATTTCGAATTTTTTTGGATGCTACTATTGGATACTAATTGATGGAGTATATGGCTCAGGAATCCCCGACCCATAGACTCCTACCTCTCCTACATAAGTCCATTGAGCCCAGGGGACATCACAGGCCCAAATACGACGGCCCAAGCCTCAAAGAAGCCCAAGACGCACACTGGAGTGCCCTCGTCCTTCTTGGCCGAAGGCTCCAGAACTCGCAGGATAGCCATTTTGGGCATACGAAGCTACTGGGAGAAAACAGCGAAAAATAGGAGCCTTCGGCATTATCAAGCCCTCAGAATCAGAGAAGCCTTCGGCTGAACCAAGCCTCCAGTCACACAGGGC